TAGTGAATGTTTGTATGATTTAAAGAAATTAATAAATAAATAAGTAAAGACATAGTGTGAGATAACCTAGCCTAGAACCAAGTGCATAAAATTTACCATAAAAGTAAAAATATCGATCCAGTTTTAAACCTACATCTTTTCTGAATTAAGGTATTTTCTGTTATATCACCAACATTCTTAATAAAAACAACCCTCTTTAATCAACGGAGACTCTAAATTAAGAAATCAACAAATATTTTTCCAGTTTCACTGTTTATGCATTTCATTTTATACTTTCAGTACATAGATTAACAACAATATTAAGTTATACTTTTGTTGCTAAGCAACATGACATAAAAGCCATTGTTGGAACTCATTGTTACTAAAACATTTCTATATATTAGAAGCTGTTAATTTGGTATACTATCGGGTGGTAATACTTACCTCATCATGTTTGATGGGCTATACGTATATAATAAAAGAGGGTGTCTGTCTGTCTGTGATTCCTGTTTGTAATATAAGGAACCACTTCTTTTCTATGTGGTTTTTCGCTAGCTTGCCTCATTAAAAAAAATAAACACATACGTTGATAAGATAAGTAATAATACCCAGGTGCACACCCTCAGGTCCACTTAGTATGGGGGCAAAATTTCAGGTTTCTAGGTTCTTTCCTCTTGGAGCTATGGCGGTCACACACACACACACACACAGACATGCCCTTTTATTATTATAGATTAGTTAGTTTGAGATCCTCACAAGGTTAGACTGAGACTTGCCGAATATTACAGCACTTCCTCGTCCACCAAAAGATTTGAGGATATCGGACGTAACAGCCAGATCTATTAGACTTTCTTGGTCGTACGACATAGGAGCTGAAAACATAAAGTATTACGTGATTCAGTATAAACCTAAGCAGGCGAACCAGGAATACAGTGAGCTAAGTGGAATTGTCACAACTTTTTACACAGTGTCGGACCTCGTTCCTTACACCGAGTATGAATTTCATGTTATTGCTGTTAATGCCATTGGTCGTGGCTCACCTAGTACACCTGCTGTCATCACTACAGGTGAAACAAGTAAGTCGATACAAATGCTTTCACCTTGAAAAATGTTTCAAACAGGAACAAGTTTATTACTGCCATCTATTGACGGTTTTATTCATTTTAGAAATAATAATAATTTCATATCCCTTTTTTACTTAAAGAATTTTAGTTTCTTATTTACTTTATATTGCAAATATTCTTTGATATTTGGCTAACTTGAGAATTTGATCCTGTTCTAGTCCTTTGTAGTAAACGTCTAAATTCTTAAAAGAAAAATATGAGAATGTTGATACAGTTGATTCTTAGATACTCTGTTTTTACCTAATTTGGGTTTTATTTAATTTGTTTGTCTTTTTATCTATAATATAGCAAGTAATTAACATTTAGATTAAAACAATTAGCAGTTATCCACTTTTATTTATTTAAACATTTTTTCTTATGTCAATTACTTGTTACAACCATGAGCTGGGGCTGTTTTTGTTTTTTTGTTGTTTTTTTTTCAGATATTTCGCGTTATCTAGGCAATTTTGGTTGCATTTCCTAAATCGCAGCTCGTAATCATTTTAAGTTCTTTCTTCACTTTTTAGTATGTTGTAATTTATTATAAGTTTTAATCAGTTCTCACAGTTGAGTCTTACACATTATCACCTCATTTTGAGTAAATAACTTAACTGAGTAACATTTAGTAACTTAAAAACAGTTTGAAATTACTCGACCAGGACATTTTGAAATTTATTATTCTACCTATGTTAAATATTACCCTATATAAAATTAATTAATTTCTTCTATTGATATGGATAATTGATTGACATTATTTCATTCCTTCCTAGCTGGGGATTAAAGAAATATTATCTTTTATTAGAGAACTTTCATTTGTCATTCTTATTCATTAATGTAATTGGAAATATTTAATTTTTGCACTTATTAGTTTTAAATACCCAAATATTTTTCAATTTATCTACGTAAAAAATAGTGGATATAAATGCATTGAAACCTTCAGTTAGTGGTTTTAAAATTAGCGCCATCTGATGGTAAATTTGTAAGTCTTGTGAATTTTTTTCAGAAATAAGAAAGGTTAAATACTTTTTCGTTTAAAATGAATAGTTTTGATAGTTAAATATTAGAGTTTATATAATTAAATTTGAAAATATATTTAGTTATAAATAATGTGTTTTGAAATGTAATTTGAAGAGTAGTGCAGCACAGAGTTTTATGTAGCATAGTTGGGTAGCCTAATTCACATTTAGTGTCACGTTTCGTCAACAACTCAGAGATACAAGTCTAAACTACAAAAATATATATGTTTACTTTTATAATATTCTAAAAGGTACCAGAGTGTGTTGCATTCATCATCTCTAAAGAGTTACTCATCTCATGAACATTTGAGATGTGACAAAGTACATTCTTTCACTTTAGACAGTGGAAGTATTAATTAGTTTAACACATTCGTTAATGAGGGAATCTACTTTAACACAGAGATGTTCAATTCACCTGCTTTTCTTAGCACTACCATTACACTGTTTTCTCTGTTTATTTGCCCCATAGTGGAACCATCAGGAGCAAGCAGTAAGTTTCCACCTTCTCTTTCAGTGTCTTTCTCAGTGTCAGTCTTTTTCCTATAATTCTAGCATTTCTGACTCTTAGCTCTTTTTTTGTTTTGTTTTTTCGTAACTTGTTACTAGTACAAAGTATCTTCAATAATATTCTTTGTGCAAACTACGTACATGTCATTGTTTTTATAATAACACCTAGTATTTTGTTTGGTGGTATGTGATAAAGTGGGAGTAAAGCATGAGTTTGAAATGTTGAATCAGTATTTCAAGTAAGACCAAACGTTGAAAGAAACAACAAATTTCACAGTTTATACTGTTAATTTAAGAGCATGTGTATTGAGTTAGCATCCACTGAAAATTTAATAATCTTTTTTTATAATGAACCATTTTGGAACTCCTAATAGATAATGTTGAACAATAAGGAAAACTGTATATCAAATGTCCCTGTATGTTTTTTAATATTTTTATCATGTACTTCATGAATAGATAATGATTGAAAATACTGTTCAAAAACTGTTAGTGTATAGCAGAATTAATAATGGTTGGAGATGGCTTGAATGGGTAATGAAGAAAAACTTTAATATAAGTTTAACATAACAGCAAATGCACAACGATGATGACAAAATCTTGTCGAAACGTTGTACATTTGCTGTTATGTTAAACTTATATTAAAGTTTTTCTTCATTACCC